ATATTGTATGTTATAGTGCTTAAACAGTTTTCATCCGTACTTAAAAATAGTTAATAAATTAATTGTTTAGTTGATAGGTTTGGGCTTTTCAGTCTGAGATTTCCCACTGGGTCAATAGTCCAAAGTCACATTACCTTGAAAGGCACCTGAAGAGATGGGTTTATGAAGCTTATTCTGGGAGTAAAGGTTACTGCTGAAGGACACAAGTAAGGTAGATGACACAGTAGGCTGCCCAACTTGGTTCTTTAGCCCAAGGCTTCACTGACACCTGTCTGAATCCCAGAGGGAACAAATCATAATTGTGGACGCTGTTGAAACTTTGAAATGCCAGGATAGAAATGGTACTGGAGGGCTGGGAAGGTGGCTCAGTGGTAGAGCACTTGCCTTGCATGCATGAGGCCCTGGGTTCGATTCCTCAGCACCACATAAGCAAAAAAGAAAAAAGCTGGAAGTGGCGCTGTGGCTCAAGTGGTAGAGCGCTAGCCTTGAGCTGAAGAGCTGAGGGACAGCGCCCAGGCCCAGAGTTCAGGCCCCACGACTGTACCCAAAAAAAAAAAAAAAAAAAAAAGAAATGGTACTGGAAATCTTTGAAGGGAAAGGAATTCTTATTGCTACACATTGCTGGATGAACATCAATAACACTTCCAGACATACCTTTGAACAAAGAGATTTGTCTTTGATAAGCATTGGTGTCTTGCTTTGTCCATTATAGTCAAGAACAACAGGAAACATTATTTGGGTAGGGCAAAACTGGAAAAGGGAAAATAGCAAGTACCACAGCAGCCAGGGTAACAGGACTAATCAACCTCAGCAGGCTCCTGGGAGCAGTTCAAGAGGGCCTTGAAAAGCACCTGCTCATTCATGTGAGGAAAGGATGTGCTTGTCTTACTCAAATTATAACGTTCATCCTTTTCCCAGTATATGAAGACTGCAGGGTGCACCAATCCCGGAGTCACCCTTCAAGCCCATTGGGCAATAGGAGCCTGCAATAGGTTCAATAAAGAATTAATCAGGAAAGAACAGATAAAGCTGACTTATTTTTGAGCTGGAATAAGATCAGTACAAAACACTTAAGGAATTGGTTGTATAAATATTAAACAAGTAATTCTGGGAGAGACATTATCCTCTTTAGAAGAATGGAGGGCCTAAAGAAAAAGCTCATGGAGGTTGCTAATGATAGTTCGACCTTAGTTTTCAAGAACTTGGAAGTAGCCATGTGCCAGTGGCTCCTGCTCATAATCCTTGCTACTCAGGAAGCTGAGATCTAAGGGTCACATAGTTCAGAGTCCCTCAAGCAGGCAAATTCTTGAGACTCTTAGTGTGTGTGTGTGGTGTAGGTACACATACACATACCAGTACTGGTATTTGAACTCAGAACCCCCTGCTCTAGTTTAGCTTTTTTGCTCAAGCCTGATACTACTGCTTGAGCCATATCTCTACTTCCAAATTCTTGAGACTCTTTTATTTTCAAATAATCAACCCAAAGCTAGAAGTAGAGTCATGGTTCAAATGACAGAGCACCAACCATGAGCCATAAAGTTGAGTGAGAGTATAAGGCTTTAAATTCAAGCCACAGTAAAAATAAAAACAACTGAGATCCATCACTTTGTTATATGTGACCACTGATCTGCATGAGTTGAAGAAATAAACAAAACAAAAAAAAACCCCACCTCTTTCTATAGAATTAGCAGTAAAAGAAATACCCCGTACCAGTTGGGAGCCTGTTTATAACGAGTAAACCTGAAAAGCACCTACAGAAAGGAGCTCTAAAGCTAAAGAAAGCTAGCATTGAAGGATGTATATAGACAGATTCAATATAGAATACAATGTCATTCAGATTCTCTTGTATCATGACATGCTTGGTTTTGATTATCAAAGTATCTTGAAATTAAGGGAACCCTGAATGTGGAGCCCATATACCAATATGAAGCAAGATTCTTCAGATTAATGGAATCCTGCATGTGGAGACCACACACCAACATGAAGTAGGGTTTTTTGGTGGCTTCTGTTGGTTCCACTGAACCACTAGATTTGTACCTTTCTGGCTGCTGCCCTATCCTGAGGCCACTGGCCATGCTGTGATTTGGGAAACTGCTCCTGGATCACCTGTAATACTAAATGCCATTCTACAGGACCACCACACATCCATTTTTATGTCTGCCTACACACTGGGAGGCATTGTGCTCCAGTGAGATGCTAATGGTTCCTAAGAAAAAGGGTCTTATGGTCTTATACCCAGGGATTACTTCTAGTCCCCAGCAACTAATCTACCTTTCTTACTTCTCAGTTCTCTTAGTAAACTTTACTTTGAGGGAATTCTACAGATCTATCTATCTATCTATCTATCTGGCCCCAAATGTAGAGATATGTCACTTATCATATTCTCTAGTGATTGTTTTTTTTAAATATTTTATAGACTAGAATTGATCTTATGTAAAGGGCCACCTTTGAAACAAATATGAAAGGAAACACGTAAAGCAATTTTTTTCAAAGTTTGCTTCTTGAATGCACTGTGAGTACAGATAGAAAACTGGTTGTGTGCATCTGGGAAGGACTTGATGATACCTCTGGTCTCAGTTTACCAAACCTACAAAAATCAGTGGGCCTGAGAGCAGAATATCTTCCAGAGTTAAAAAAATCTTAATCATGTATCCATTAAAAGGCCAAATTTCAACACTAATGTTGAAATTACAAAAGAAAGAAAGACAAAGAAAAGAGAGAAAGAAAAAAGAAAGAAGGAAGGAAGGAAGGAAAGAAGGAAGGAAGGCAATGTGAACAGAATGCTATATAAGCAAAGATTCAGTTTGTATATGAGAGGGAGTAGAGTGAGTTCATCATACAAACAAACTGATTCTTTACACTCTCATGACTGTCCAACATACAAACAATAATTTGTCTTAAAAATCAATTTCATTTTCTAAGTTATTTTGGCTCCTTCATTAAACACGTATATTTGTTCTGTTCGGTTTTCCAAGTGTTTCCGACCTTGTTTTAGGAGGTAGTAGAGAGTGAAGGCAGAGGAGAGCTGTGCATTAGTAAGGCCCATTCCCTTCCTTCGTCTTCCACCTGTACACTTCCCATCTCTTGAGTCTTGTTGGGGTCACCTCAGAGCCTCTCCATGTTCTTACTGAAGTTGAGAACTCTGCACAGGCAGTTATTCCCCCTAAATCAGTTACACTTCTTTAAAGCTCAAGTGTTCCCCAACCACTGCAGAATGGAGATGCCTAACACTTACCTCTAGGAAGGCTTTTCTGGCATTATGTTTTGGCTGAATTTTTTGTAATGCATTTCCATGTCACTCAGTATGGTGTGTTTCTGCCAGATATTCTGCCTGTTCTCTGCTGAAGGCTTTCCCAGGCTGGGCAGCTGAATGCACTACACAACTGCCAAATTCTAATTCAACATTTAGAATTCTAACTTTTGCTCTTTAGGCCCTTGTCTGGCCTTGGCCTCAGTCTTCAGCCAAGCAGGTCCTTGGCTCCTTATCAGCTCTATCCCTACCTCCCATTTGGGCCCAGGAAACCATTCTTGGCATCAAACTGAACCTTAATGATACACACACATTGCCCCCAACCCCACCCAGCACATCTCTCAAGTTTGTCAAGACAGAAGTGGCAGACCAGAAGATAAAGTGTCATGGGTGAGGAGACCAATTGCTGTGATGGGGAAATGCAGAAATACTGTATGTACTGGTATTTATATTTACATGAAAAGCCTTCACAATTCTATTATTAGAAACAGCACTAGAGATACATATACTATTTTCTATGTATCTGCACAAAAAGGGAAGAGAAATTTGCCCTAAGAAAAATGCTAAATTTAGCATGCATGTATTAACAAAATTGTATTCTTGGATATTAATGTATAACGTTCTTTAGGCAACTGGAAAAGTGCTACTGGAGAATATACACCTGCGATAAAAATGTGACTGTAACTAGGGGTGGGACTAGGGCCCAGAAAGGAATCTTTAGCAAAATGCCGGTTTTGAGAGGAAATTGCAACACTCAAGGACATAGCTGGTTATCATTATGGTATAAATAATCAGGGGACAGGATGCTCTTCATTGACAGAAGAAATCTTCACTTGTAAGTAAAGCAAACTAAGTCTCTTGACTCAGTTTCCACTCCTAGCCAAATCAACGTGCTATGCTTTGTGCTGTGTCAGAAACACACAGATGAGTTAATTACGCGGCTTGGGCTTTGGCAGTGGGGTACTCTAATGAAACTTGGGGTAATGAAATTATTTGAGGTTTTGTTTTCCCAAAAGGGGTAGAGAGTTGAACAATAAACATGATACATATGTAAAACACAGACAAATGCACTTGACAACCAAGCACTCTATTTTGAAATTTAAATAAAGCTAAGGTTTTCGTTGGGCCTAGAGGGAAGCTTCATTAAAATCAATTAGTTAGTACAAATCTCCAGAGACTATAGGCTTTTATTAAGGGAAGGTTTAAAGAGTAAGGTGCACACAATTACCTTTCTTGGGTCTCCTGTGGATGTCAGTGACACTTAGACAGGTGGCCAAGTGGCCAGGGACGGCCCTGGGAGGGGCTGGGTGAACTCCCAGAGGGCTCACGGCAGGGAAGTATGTGTAATTAATAGATGTCTATCTGTCTATGAAGAATGCAAGAGGGCTCCAAACAGATCGTGTGCCTGGCAAACTGCAGAGCAGGCCTAGGGAAGATAAAGTTGGTGGCAAGCTCTGCCAGGTGAGGCCTGGGTCCGAGGCGAGCCGAGGCTGGGGCCGCACAACTGTGGCGCGCGCCTGGTCCCTCCTCCCAGCTGCGGCGGCCGCCCCCGCCCCCACCCTCCCCCCCCCCCCCGCGCTCCCGCCGCCGCCGCCGCCGCCGCCGCCGCCTCCCCTCTGCCTCCCGGTGGCTCCGCGCTCTCCTGCCATCTCTCTGGCCCCCTCTCCCTCCGTCCCGTCCTCTCCGCTCCCCTCACCCCGCCTCTGCCCCCCCCTCCCCAGCCCCTCCTCTCCTCACCCCACCCCACCCGGCCTCCCTCCCTTCCCTCCGCTCGCCCGGCGCTCGCAGAGCCGACACCAGGGGGGCTCTCGATGTAGCACCATGACAGGCATCGCCGCCGCCTCCTTCTTCTCCAATACCTGCCGGTTCGGGGGCTGCGGACTCCACTTCCCCACCCTGGCCGACCTCATCGAGCACATCGAGGACAACCACATCGGTAAATGGCCCGGGGGTGGGCGGGGGTGCGGGGCGCGCGGAAACTCCTGCCGCGGCCACCAAGCCCCAGGATGGCCAGGGGTGGCCGGGAGGGAGGAGGCAGCGGCGGCGGCCGGGCGTGCAGCCCCGCGGCTAGGGCTGGGGGGCTGCGGGGGCTGCGGAGGCGCGGGGTGCAGGGGGAGGGGTGGGGAGCCGGGCAGGCTGGGGGAGGGGGCGGGCGCCCCGAGGTGCGGCGGCGGCGGCGGGCCGGGGAGCGGGGGTGGGGGGGACCCCGAGGGGCGTGCACGCGGGCTGCGAAGTGTTGGCAGTGCGGGTGCACCGCGGCGGGGCGGCGGGGATGCGGCGGTCGGCCGTGCGCCGGGGTGGCGGAGGGCGCGGAGGGCGGGCGGGCGGCGCTGGTGGAGGGGCGCGGAGTTAGTTGGTCCGGGTGGTCCGAGCGGCCCGGGGCGCCGGGGGTGGGCGGGCGCTGCAGCCCGCCCGCTGTTTCCGCCCCGGCGGGAGCTGTCAGGGCTCGGCGGCGGCTGCAGCGGCTGGGCGGTGGGGGGGCGGGGGTGGCTCCACCGCGGCAGCCATTCCGCTTCCTCCTCCCACCGCCGCCGCCACTGCGTCCTGTCAGCGCCGGTTGCTAGGTGTGGTGCGTCGGGAGGGGGCCGGGGCCGGCGGCGGCGGCGGCGGGCGGCGGAGGACGCCGCCGCCGCGGTGCCTTCTCCTCGGGAGGTTGGCACAGCCGGCCTTGGGGACTCGAGACTCGAGCCCTGGGCTCCCGCCCTTGCCCTGGCCTCGCGCGGACGCCGGGCGCTGCGGGGCTGGAGGTTCCGGGTGCGCCCGTGGGCCGCGCCCAACACGCCGAGCCGGGGAGCCCCGGAGGCCCTGGGGCTGCGTCCGATGGAGAGCAGCCTCCTCCTCCTCCCCCGGCCCTCGCCCGACGTTCCGGTGCGCCCCGGCTCCAGCAACTTTGCGATTTGCCTTTGGAATGGTGCTAGGCCCGAGGTGCGCGGGCTGCGCCCAGGGATCGCGGCGGCCTGCAACCAGCCCCGGCGCGGGGACGCGGGGGAGGGGCGTCCCGCAGGGCGGCCAGTTTCCCTTTACGCCCAGGGCCCGGGCACCTTTCAGTAAGTCCCATGGTTCACAGAAGTCCTTGCACACATTTGCACACTTTTATTCCGAGTCCCTGCGAAGGGAGGTGGTCGGTTCTTTTGACTCAGGCGACCCAACCACCTGCAGAAGGTGTGGCTGGCGTGCACAAGTTGCCCTGTGGGCAGGAAGGCCAAGGGGCCACGTGTTGCCCCAATGAGGCTGGCTAATCCAGAGAACCTAGAAATTAGCTTAGGAAGTCCAAATGCATGTCATGCATTCAGCCATGTGGATGCAGCTCACGTTTCTACAAAGTTGAGAGAATAAATCACAACTGCTGTGTATTTATGCAGGAATAAAATGAGACAGAGCCTTATGCTCCTTTGCTTCTTGTAATGCACTCTCTTTGCAGGCAGTATGTGCTTAATAAGTATTGTACGTCTCTTTTGGATGGGATTTGATTCACTATCCAGAATGGAAAATAATCATGAAAAATGCCTGCAGACTGTCCTTGAAAAGATAATGCTGATGAGTAATTGTCCTGGCTTTTAAATTTTCAGAGTTTTAGAATCTCTGTGTAGTAGCTTCTCTCATCTCTTCTGATAAAAGTATGTCAGAAGAGCTGGGCTTTCAAGTTTTGGTGGTCTTATAAAGCAGTTGAATGGAGTCACAAATTTGCTGATTCATATCATGATTGGGTACACATAAGTCAAAGTGCTCTAGTGTATGAATCAGGTTTCTCAAGAGGCTTGGTTTAAAATACAGCTAAAATCCCAGTTTGTTCATGTACCAACCCTTACTTCCAAAACTAAATGGAAAATAATATAAATAAGTAATGTCTCCAGACCCATGGAAAGCTGTCATTGCATATACCAACCATCAGCAGTTATAGCATGATAAACCATTTGAGTAAGCTGAGTAAGAATTTTATCTAAATGCTTCCCTACTTGGACTACTTACTGGTTAAAAGAAAATATAAATTATACTTAAATGTCTTGAAGACATTTAATCCCTCCAAATTAAGTCCTTCTTGGGGATTTAATTTGTCCTTAGGTGATTTAAAGTTAACTGTTGGGAGGTGAGGTCTGGAGATATGGGTAGACAATGGAGACAGGAAGGGTGGCAGAATGCAGTCATAATATTCAGTGTACATATGTGGAAATGGAACAGGGCACATTGAAGGGATAGGTGATATTGGGAGAGATGGGGGAGAATGATGAAGAGGGTGACATTGATCAAGATACATTGTACTCATAAAGTGACGTGTTGAATTGAAACCCTTTTGTACAACTACTTAATAATAAAAATTAACTGTTAGTAAATCATAAATTTTTCTTAGGTTTGAAGAAAAATATTGTACAACATATTTTAAGAGGGCGAATGGTGCATACATTTTCTAACTCAACCTTTAAGTGTTAGTATTATTCACAAAGGACCAGTGTCTTTCTTTTAGTGGTGAACATATTGAAAATTTAGTTTATAACAATAACAGTGACTTATCCAAATTATGTGGCAGGGCTAATAATTACTATACTTTCAAAATAGTCTGAACCAGTGAGCTTTATGAAAAGTAAAAGTTAATATGAACAAACTCTTAAAATCCCCAGTTTGAAGAAGTTCACTTAAGCTACTTTGTACCTCAGCTGAGAAGAGGCCCCTTCACTTTCACTTTATCTAGAAGGAAATGAGATTCATCTCATGAAAAATAAAAACATCTTGATTAGTAGGGAGTTTCAGGCACCTATACTTATGAAGAGACAAGAGAGAAAGTATCTTGGACAGTGCCATTGAGGAAAAGTTCTGTATTTGATTTTTTTTATTGTGATTCAGCTAAAAACCTTTAGAGATGATAGCTATTTTTAAAGGTTAGTGATTTCATATCTTTGTCACTCAGTGGCTACAGTAAAAAAAAAAAAAGATTTATGAAGAAACTACCTACTTATTTGGCTCTTATTCAATGTCTTCTCATTTAGCTGAAGAGATGAGGTGTGCTTAGGTAATGGTTCCATCTTTCTGAATTTCCTTCACTTCCAAAAATCTAGGGCCTTTAATATGCTAAGTAAGTGCTCTCATTGATCAATGTCCCCTTGCTTCTTTCTGGATTATCAAAATCATTATGCAGTGATGAAACCCAGGTTTATGGGGGAATTTGGTGTGTGTGTGTGTTTGCAGATTTTGTTTTCATTCTAATTGTAATATGTTCAGTTCAAATTAATTAAAGACATTAAGTCATGAGTAGTGGTCTTTGTCATCATATATGTGTACATTTAACTCTTCTGGTGGTTTTGGAAACTGGACCCGGGGCCTTGCACATGAAAAGCACACACTGTACCCCTGAGCTTCATCCCCAGTTCATAGTTCTTGATTTTAACTATCCTCCTTGTTCATAAGGAACAAGATTTGGAGCTTAAAAGAAAATGGAAGTATGCTTTTCACCATTCCATCTTTGCCAGTTTCCCTCCTCTTAGAAGAGTGCTGTACCAATGTTCCTATTTGTGTTTATGTTTCATGTCATGTTGGTTTAGCTCTGGATCACCAGTCTCCATAAACAACTTTTTTTTTGGGGGGGGGGGTGGTTCCGGTCGTGGGTCCTGAACTCTGGGCCTAGGCACTGTCCCTCAGCTCTTCAGCTCAAGGCTAGCACTCTACCACTTGAGCCACAGCACCACTTCCGGCTTTTTTCTTTTTGCTTATGTGGTACTGAGCAATCGAACCCAGGGCCTCAGGCATGCAAGGCAAGCACTCTACGACTAAGCCACCTTCCCAGCCCCTCCATGAACAACTTTGAACCCTCTCCCACCCCCGCTTAAATTGCATAGAAATCCCAGTCTTGCAACTGTGAAGTGTTTGTCTACTAGCTCTGCTGTCACTTCATTCATAGCCCTGGTGCTATTTCCTGAAGACAGGCAAGCTAGTCATATTTCTTAGCAGTCTCTCATTATGAGTAGACAGTTAAGTTTGTAGAGACACTTTTGGAATGAACATTGTAGATAGGTAATCAGGAATCCTAGAAGCACCAAGAGCACTAAATTTAGCCCTGAAGGTCATAACCCAGACTGTAAAATGAATTCCTATACCCCAGTGCTATAAAATATTTTGGCTTTACATTTTGGAAACCAACTGTGGAATCATTCCTAGTTGAGAGGTTCTTTTGGTGCCTTTGTAAAAGTACCTCTCTGTTTTTTGAATTCATCCATGTAATAATGTATACTGAATATATTAGACTGTGCCTGACACAGTCTAAGCCCTTGATATATTTATTTTTGGTCAAAGAAACAAAGACCCTGTCAGGTATTTTAAATTCTACTAGAAGTAAATAGACAAATAATTCAAGTAAATTCTCTAGTTATGTTGAAAGGTGGTTCATGATATTAAAAAAAAAGCTAGAGAAAGTTACAATGGACTAGGAGCAATAATTGTTGGAATTTTAAATAGGTTGGCTGAAGCTGGGCACCAGTGGCTCACACCTGTAATCCCAACTATGGAGGGGCTGAGATCTAAGGATCAACATTTGAAGCCAGCTCTAGCAGGAAAATTTGTGAGACACTTAGCTCCAGTTAGCCACCAAAAAGCCAGAACTGACCTGTGGCTCAAGTGGTAACCTTGAGGGAAAGCTGAGGAACAAGGCTCTGGCCTTCAGGTCAACCCCCAGTATGGCACAAACAAACAGGATGTCATGGAAAGGCCACTGAAAGCTGATATGGGAGTCGGAACCTTGAAAGAGATGAGAGGGGCATGAGTACAAGAGCAGCAAGGTCCGGATAGGGGGAACACAGTGCAAAGGTCCCAAGGCAGAACTTTGTTTCTCCAGTAGAAATGCAGGCATCTGACTTGGTTCAGTTCTTGTGAAGGCAAGTCACTTAAAACTTTGCTCATGTGGTAGGCACTTCAACTTTGCTATTGTCGGTGCAGACTTTCCAGCAGCAA